ATCTCCAGAAATTATCTGCCTTGGTTTCACTAGGTCTGTTCTGATTGTCTTTCTTGGGCTGCCTCTCCAGTTACATCTGCAGAGATCCTGATTCCCACCCACTCCTCCTGCAAGGTTTTTAATCCTTGACTGGTTGCAAACATCTCTCTGGGTACACTCTCTTGATTTTATCTAACAGACTTCCTTCCAAGAATAGCTGCATTGGATAGAAGGGGATGAGCATTCAGTCGTCAAGAGCCACGTGCCTTCTTTGAGAAAGAGAAACCACCCTGCAGATATATTAAACTAAAATTCTACTTAAGGAATTATAGAAGCTACCTGGAAGGCACTTGATCATGAAAAAGCAGTGTATAGATTGCTGGTGTTGAATTAAAGCATTTTGAGACAAAAGCATCAATTTCATCTTGAGGAAAAGTGTTATTTGGGTGTGGGTTAAGTGCTGCATTATTTGATTCCCATGAAATAACTTATTATTGGCTCTTTGTATTCTTTGAGGAAATACTAAGCAATCAAGGTACATAGGGTATAGTTGATTGTTGCAGTTAATTTTGTATGGGATGTTATTTTGTATTGTTTTACATTGCCTGGAGCCATACAGTGAGGCATATTCACCAGCAGTGGATTTTCAAAGTGACAAACAAAGCCAAACAAAGTCTGGTGACCCTCCTCCAATGAATTCTGTTCAGATTTGACAACTTTTTGTGAGAGTGAAGGCTGTCACACAATCAGTATAGGCTCTCTGTGAGTTTTAGCAAGGTTAGAGGTAAATAGCCCAAAGCCAATCTAACCCATTACCATAACAAGGGACACTTCTCCCCAGGAAGAGGGAGGCTTAAGACCATAACAACAGGCCACCAAGAAAGTCAAAGATTAAACCCAAATTTACTATAAAGTGGGCTTGTATTTTATACTGGGCAGTCCTTGGAATTCTTAACAGCTTCTATTACTCTTGCAATAGCCTTAGTTATCAGAAAGCTGCATCCTTGACTCTTTGTCTACACAATTTCCCATTCTGCTATCAGCAGTCAGAAAATCCAACAAATTGGTCAGTTCACTGGTTTAATCTGTCACCATTCTTTACCCAAAAATGCCATTTAAAATTTGAAAAGAATGACATAGGCGTTCTGCTCAATAGGTCAACAAATCTTGACCTTTTATCAGTCATATAAAGGTAAATGTTGACCTGTGGAGCAACTTCTCTGTTCTTTAAGACTAACAACTTTTGCTCCTCTGGTTTTTCTTGTTTGTAAACCGTATAGTTCAACACAACATATTTGCCCCCTCTGCCTTATTCTGAACCTTATGCCTATAGGAGTAATAGTCATCTACTTGAATTCCTATATACTTTGCATTATCATGACTTTTGAGTTTGATTGTTTTACAGTGTAGAAAGAAATATCCTTCTGGGTTCTGCTCCAAGTGGGGAAAAAGACATTGGAAACACGGAGACTGCTTGGAAAGATGGTTTAATGGTGGACAGGATCACATGGCTTGAGTTCCTGAACAGAAAAGGGGCTGAGAGTCAGCAAGTCCCCGGGTTTTATGCTCTCTCTGGCTTTGAACTTCCTAGGGCCCCAAAAGTCTATCCTGATTGGTTGTCAGACTCCCAGGGGGTGGGGGTCTTAGCTAGCCTTGCTGGCTGATGTAATCTTCCCAGGTGCCATGTGGTGAGTTTTTGTCCTAGGTGGGTCCCATTGTCTTGCAGATGAGGTCCATTGACAAAGATTGAGTTTCTGCCTCTGGCCCATTAACAAAAGGGTGGGGGCAGGAAGGTGGGAGCTGCTTTGTCTTTAAAACATGCTTCTCCATTTCTCATCCAGGGAAACATAATATTCTGCCTTTTTAATATTTCCCAAAATATTTCATTCTTTTAGGAAAGGGGTGGGTGCTAACTTCCTACAACAGAAAGCAAAAATATGGGAAATATTCTGTTGTAGAAGAAAGTGAGAAATGAAATCCCACTTTGCAGACCAGATTTATACTTACAAAAAGGCAGTCCTCATTTAACAACCACAGTTGGGACTGGCAACTCCATTAATAAGTGACACAGTCATTAAGTGAAACATTGTGTAAGCACACCCAACTTACATCAGTTCTGCTGCTAGCATTTAAGTGAATTACATGTCATTAAGGGCAACATCACATGACCACAACTTGTGACCTTCTGCCATCTTTACCATTGACTTTGCTTGTTGGAAACCAGCTGTGAAGCTTGTTGCAAATGGTGATCACATGGACATGGGACACTGCAACCATTGTTAATAGTGTGTTGATTGCCAGACACCTAAATTGCAATCACATGGCCATGGAAATGTTGCAACCATTGTAAGTGCTCAGGCTGGTTGTAAAACTTTTTTTTTAGTGCTGTTGTAAGTTTAAACAGTTGCTAAACAGGGCAGTAGTTATCTGAGGACTACCACTAGGATTGAATAGACAACTTCCATGCAGAGTCAATGACAGCATTTTATTCTTGGACTGTTTCCAGGGCCCCACTAGTTATTCTTGTCTCTGATACATAGACATCAAAAGAAGGGGATCAGTGATGTGCAGCCATGATGGAAACCCCACCCCTTATATGTTTTGAGTGATATTGCAATTCAAGTAACAAAAAAACAGAGCTTGCATCATGACATCACAATGTATGTTTTATAATTTTGGCATTACCATGATTTGGAATGGATTTCTTTCTTGAACGTACATTAATTGTCAACCAGCACAGATAAAATATAGCTGGAGGGCATTGAAGTCTGATATACCTGGAGGAAACAAGGTAGGGAAAAAACTGAATTAGGCACAGTAGAAAATATAATATTAGCTAAATTAAACAGCCCCTTGTCCATCTTCATACCAGGCATGGCAATAAAATCATTGATTCTCCAAAAGCTCAGCTTTGCATCTGGTAACAGAAGCTTCATAGACTTGCCACAGATAGGTAAGTTGCTTTATTCCAGACAAGAAGGAAGTCATATATATGCAGAAGATCTGCTTATTACGTGTGTGAGAGAGACACAGAACACACCCCAGGAATTAAATTCTAGGTCTTTCCCTCCCATTCTTTCCAATCAACAGACTTTTTAATGTATTTTTTTCCTGTCCTTGAGAACCAGAAATATCTATTCCATTCTAACCTTATAATTCTGTCTCTGCCCTGAGAATTGTTGCTTCCTATCTCATACTTCAGCCCTTCTCCCATGATAGCCAGGATCTTCTAACAGAAGAATGGACACTTCAGTGGACACAACCCCAAATCTCCTACACTATATAAATGCGTATAAATTAGCCATCATTTTAACCAGTGGATACTTCATACTTCTGGACACATGGATGATGTCTTTTGCCTGAAACTATGATCTGCTACGTCTGCAATATAGCAGGAAGACGCAGCTTGGGCCAAGATTTGTTTCCATTGACTTGCATGGCCTAGAGATGCCTTTATGCAAATAAATCTGCAATGGAAAGAAGTACTAATCAGAGGCACTGTGCCAAGTTATATTTGCATGCAATAACCTTAGCAAAAATTTAAGTATTGTTCTTGTGCAAAAATTAGATGTGATTAGTCTTTCCAGAGGGACATATGGATGGTGCATATATATCTGTCAGCCTCCACAAACAGCCAAACAAACTTGCATAAAGTACAGCTGCTTTAATTATTTGAAGAGAAAGCTTCATTTCTGTGACAAAATACCTCTTTCAAATGCCTTGCACAACCAATATCTTGACTAATAATAATTTGAGGATAAAGCAAATAGTGGTGAGATGAAGCCCATGGCTGCCAAAATTATATGGCCAAGGTTATAGAATATGAGCTGTGAAAAATCTGTTAAAAGAATATCCTCTATCTCCAGTCTGTACTGTGACTGAATGGAACTGTGAAAAGATTTCAGGATATATATTATAAAAACACACACCTAATCATGGTGGGAGATTAAAACCAGTCCTTTGTAAATTGTCATTACTGAGAAGGACCTTTGTCCCATCTGTATCATGGAAACTCTGAAGTAAAGTAGGGTAATGGAAGGAAGCCCATCTTGTGTCTTCAAGAGACAGCTTGGGAAGTATCTGGGAACTGCAGCTAAGGCTGGGAAAACAATAAATAAATAAGATTGGGTGAATCTTATTTATGATTCATAAGATTTATGAATCAGGTCCTAAGTGACCCACTTTCTGAAGCCTTCATTATTTGATTTTTTTTTTTTTAATCATAGTTCTCCAAGGGCTCAGAAGAGGATTGCATGCATTTCCTTGAATCGTTTTGCCTATGAAATGTCCAGGCATTTTCCCCAACCAGGTTGGGTAATTCTGGGTATTGACATCCACACATCTTAAAATTGCCAAGGATGAGAAGAAAGGCTGACTTAGATCACATAGCTTTTTTTTTTTTTGAGGGGGAGGGAAAGGTATAGTGTTGCAAAAGAGATAGTTGCACCAAACCACCTAGTTTGTTTGTTTGCTCGGGACTTTGAGGGAAGAAGATTTGCCCCCTTTATATTTGTTGCTTTTTACGCAGGGAGCCTTTTGGTTGCTCATCCCACCGGCTTTTCCTGACCTAGCTGGCGCTGGGTTCCGAGAAGGAGAAATCCTGATGCCGCAGCCTCAAGTTACAGGGAAAGGAGGTGGCCCTATGCAAATGAAGGAGGCTGTGGGAAAAACAAAAGCACCTGACAGACCTGGGAAGTTAAATGTAAAGCTTGAGAGGATGAAATTCCCGCCCAGGATACAAACCTACCTGTCCTGGCTACTCTTTCACTGCTCCGGGACACCTGAACGATGTAACCCTGAGAAAGAGAAGCTGCGGCTTTGCGTGGGAAACGGTGCCTCTTAGGTCGCCTTGATCCTCGGGTGTCACCGTCACCTGAAAGTTACTGGGCTGGGTTCTTTTGGTTTGGTTTGGTTATTTTAAGAAAAATAAAGTGCTCTCCAACTGCAACATTTTGTGCTTCAAATCGTACCCCGTTTTCCAAAGAGGGAGCCGAAGGGGGCCCCTCCCGGCTCCTCCAGCAATGCCGCCCCAGGAGCTCTTGGATTACTCGCCTACCTTACGAAGAAGCGGCTGTCCCAGCCGAGGCAGCGGCTCGGAGCTGGGCATTAAGTGTGTCCTCATCGGGGATGGAGCCGTGGGCAAAACCAGCCTGATTGTCAGCTACACAACCAATGGATACCCAGACCACTACCAGCCGACTGCACTAGACACCTTCTCAGGTAGGCAGAGCAGAAATCCCAGCCTGTCAAGGCAGGGTAGAGGGCGCTTGCTGGAGGAGGAGGAGGGAGGAGGGGGGGGTGTCTTTTGAGTTTAGCCCTGTGTGTTTTTGAAAAGGTAACAACAGTTAATATAATGGGATGAAACACTCACTATTGATTTCAGTGTTGTTACGAAGTCTGCTGTGTAGGATTGCCAAAGCTACTGCTTTGTTTCCCGGGCATAGGCACTGTAGAGACAAAACGAACAGCAATTTAGCAGGTGACTTTTTTTTCCCCTTCAAGAGACAAAGTTAGATGAAAAATGACTTCTATAGTCCCCTTTTACATGGGATCCTTGCACAAAGAAAAGGGAAGAAAGGCAGATCTATTTGTAACCTTGATGTCTTTGGGAGGAAAGTTTTTGATCCTTTGTTATTGATTAAGTGTTCAGTTGGAGCAGGAGGAAAGATAGAGAACTGACCTGAACCAGTTTTCTTATTCTTTGTGGAAAAACCAAAATGTCCAATCAAGTGGGAAGCAACTGATCTGTATTCTTGTTTCATTGATGGTACAGTTTTATGTCTGCTCTGAAGTCAATCTTGTTGAGATAAATGTGACATTCCTAGGTAAATGTGTATAGATGGGCATTCTACCTTCTTGAAATTTAGTGGGGTTATGTATTTTACAGAGTTCCATCTATAATTCCAATAATATTGGTATTTCATAAGCTTGAGAAGTTCTCAAAAAAGGAAACTATTATAAACACATCTTGAACTCAAAAAGAGGTTACAAAGCAAAACGTTTTACTGCAGCCTTTCACCTGAAACAAGGGTGGTAATTCTCCCACTCAGCTAGCAGTGCAAGATATCTAGTCTGTTTGACTTGTTTGAGGTGACTTTAATTGCTCTAGTAAAGCTGAGAGAGCATTACTTTTAAATTGTTTTTCCAGCTAAAATATAAGAAAGAGCAGATAATTGCATGCCATCTGAAAGTGTGTCAGTAATTCATTTATCAAGATGAAACTCCAACAGCACTTGGGGGTTGATTATCCCAAGTATCACCTACCTACACTACAGATCAAGTAGCCTAAGACTAAACTGGAAATGCAGGAAGGATGACTGTAGATTATCCCTCCACCCCAAGAAAGATACACATTCAATTGACTGGCTAAACTTAGCAATTGGTAAACCATGCTCCAGCACTGCAATTCTGTGCATGCCTCCTTAAAAGTAAATCCCATTAAGATCAATGGGATTTCCTCCGTAGAAAGTTTGTATAAGATGATAGTCTGAACAAACTTTTGTAGCAGTTGTAGAATAAGGTGGTGCTAGATTTTTGTGTGCTGGAGTAGATAATCCATCTGATTCATTCTTTTATTATTTTCAGTTTACCTAGTGTCTGCGACTGATTGATTACATGTCATCAAGACAGTGTCACTTTACTGACCACATAGCAATTCTTCTCCAGAACGATTTAATGATTATTATAACCATCTATAACCTATATCTCTATCTCTACATCTTAGTACAAATACTGTGGATTTTTTAAAAAATGGCTTTTGAGGATAAAGATTTCTCAATTGATTTTACTTTGTTTTTAATTTTGAAAACTATGTCGAATCTATTATGCTAGATACTGAATCCACATTTAACAATAAATAAAATGTAACATTTAAAAACAATAGAATATCTGCTTGCATTAGAAGAACCATTTCCCACGGTGCCAAAGTTCTCATTTTGCAGACAGACAGAAACTTAATTTTGGTCATTGGCCAATAAAAGATACAATCAATAAAATGAACAAAACAAAAGTATCGCCTAACAACAAGAACAAGTAGTAACTACTAGTGGGTGGAGCTTATACATAATGCAACAACATTTTAATGACTTTTAGAGGAATAAAGTGGTTTTGATTTTTTTAACAAATAATGTAGATAAAAGCTATCAGAGTGCCCTGGAAATTTAAATAAAAGAAGGATAATCAGCTGGTAGTGAACATACTGTAGAAGTGGCAATATAGAAGAACGCGAACTGTGTTTTCTATGGGATCCATATCAGAGGGGCAGTATTGGGTTTCATTTAGCCTTTTCCTCCATGTCCCTTCCAGGAGAGCTGTGGAGAGAACATTAGATCTATCTAAAGATAAGACTCTTCTAAAGTTGGGAACTGTGATAAACATGAGGCTGATTTAGACACTAAGATTCGGTGATTGCAATTATATTATGACAGAAAGCAGTGATTTGTGTTTGACCTTCTGCATCTAAGAACCTTTGCCCTAGTATTGATCTAGCTAGCTTGATCTGACTCTAAGATTAAGATGGCATCTCTGGAGAAACCATAGAGGATCAGTTTCTTTTGAATTGCTATTTCTCCAGGAAATAGTTGTCTGCCAATATTATTCGATTGGTCAGTTTGCTAGGGTTGTCTATCACATGAGGATGACTGGCTGTCAACAATCTCTTAATGCTCCTTGAAGCCTATTAGTCAAAACATCTCATCATCTGAAGAGTTTCTGTCGTCTGAACATAACCTTGTAAGGAGGGAAATAGGAAGTGCAGTTAGAACCAGTTGAGACAGTTTCTGTTCTTGATATGTTTGATGAATTGCTGTTGCACTTTCTCTAACCTGGTGTCTTCTAGATGGGTTTGCTCATCTTTCAGAGTTCCCAGCTAGCACAGTCATTAGAGAAGTGTTAAAAATATTTAATCCTCAGAAGTAAGAAACATGGAGTGGTTCGTTGTACAGTACAGAATATAGCTACAAAGGTAGTTACATGAAAAGTAGCATATTGGAATTTTGGAATTGTTTTTTTTTTAATTTTAAGTAACTCTCACTTAACAACCAAAGAAGAATTCAAAATATACACCGGCCCTCACATTTCAGAGAAAGATATAAGGCAGCCATCTCCAACCTGATGCCTTCCTGATGCATTGAACTTCAAGGACATCATCATACTGCCCCCCATGCTGGCTGGGAAGGCATGAGATGGGAGAAGAGTGAAGTAGATGTTTGTTCTCAACAGTTTGAATAGCTGCAAGATGTTGTGCCTTTACTGCAATGATTGATCAATGCAATTACTCCAATTTGAGTGTGAGCTCCTTCTCAACCTGGTTCACTGCATCCACATGGGCTTTTAAGGATTAGAAAGAAATCACCTGTGTGTTCTCAAATAATTTTGAGACTGCTTTCCAACAAATAATTTCCAGATGATCATATAAAAGAATTTATCTGGATGTTTTCAAAAAGGCTATCTCTTTATCTTTTGAAAATTAGTGGTAATATGAAGTGGCAATATGAAGATTCAAATTCTGATTGATCTATCTGAAGCAGTGGGTAGGAATGTCTACAGCATATGGTTTTAGATTCATTTTATCATACAGTAAAAGGAACCATTGTACTAAAATGGCAGTGAACTGGAGCGCCATATAACCTCAACCTGAATTTCATTTTGAACATGAGCTCACTAGATGGCATCTATCTTCCCATTAGCAACATAGGATCCCACAACTAACATGAATCATCTTGCAGCATTTGTTGTAAAGAATATTTATACAATGTATTCACAGAATCATATAATGAAAGAGTTGGAAGAGATGTTGTGATCACGTTATCCAACATCCTGCTTAGTGTAAAAATCCATATTACATCTAAACTCTGTGAAATGCCAGAACTCCTTTTACAGCACCAAGAGCCTCCAACTTGATCTTTTGACATTTGGAGGAGGGCGGGTGAGAAGTACAAGTAATCCTCAATTTACAACCACAATTGAACCCAACTTTTCTGTTATTAAGCGAGACATTTGTTAAGTGAATTTTGCTCCATTTTGCAACCTTTCTTGCCTCAATTGTTAAGTGAATCACTGCAACTGATAAGTTAGTCACCCGGTTGTTAAGTGAATCTGGCTTCCTCATTGACTTTGCTTGTCAGAAGGTCGCAAAAGATGATCACATGACCTTGGGACACTGCAACGGTCATAAGTATGAAGCAATTGACAAGCATCTGAATTTTGATCAGACGGTCCTGGGGATGCTGCAAAGGTTGTAACTGTGAAAAACAGTCATAAGTCACTTTTTTCAGTGCTGTTGTAACTTTGAATGGTCATTAAGTGAACTGTTGTAAGTCGAGGACCCCCTGTAAAATGTTCCAGAAAGTTAAAATAGACTCAGTTTGCATTCTAGCCCCATCCATTTTGGAGTGTCTTGCTTAACTCCAGTTTGTTAAGTGATAATAGTGACCTGGAACAGACTAAAATATATGCCTGAATTAGCACACAGTATATGAACACCATTGCTGCCTCCCATAGGACAATGAGCTGCATAGTCTAGTCAGGCTTAAGTCAGCTTGCTCCAACCTGATGACTGGCATACTCAAAGCTATAGTCTCAATATATGTGGAGAGGACCAGGCTAGTTGGGACAGGCTGAATTTACTGCTATATCCGCTGTTCTAATTTTGAACGTGTAATAATTAACTTATTGCTTGATTTGACCTGTGCTATCAAGCAAACTATGTGTAATCCAAAAGACAGTCTGTGGTTCAGTAAACTATGGCTTGAATTTTATATTACGGTATATCCTTTAAGTTTATATTACAGGAGTCATTCATTCCACTGGTACATACTTAATATACAGTGTATTTAGCTTATTACATGTTGTACATGCTTTTAAAATCTGATACGATAGAAGGAATACATTATAAGAAGCCCCTTTTTTTAGCTCAGATTTTCTCCTTTTTTAAACAATGCTACAAAAGTAATATTGGATAATTCTTTTTAAACATGTAACCTAGTAGAATGGGAATTTGAGCCTCCCAAGTTCAACTCCCAGCAACCCCAGTGAGAAGGCCAATAATGAGAGCTTCTGGAAGGTGTATTCCAACAATATCTGGAACCTGAAGGCTAGATGTTCCCCCTGCCCGCTTCGATTAAGGCCAGGTATTGAATGCAAAAAACGCCGTCCTGTCTGTGCCTTTTCTTCTGTTTCCAGGACAATAGATCTCTAACCTTTGGGGAACAGGTGGGGAC